AGGCTCTTACAATCCTACAGTTGAAATTGGAATATCAAGAGAGTAAAATGTCTTAGTGACTACAAGAAACGGCTAAACTAATCACAATCACTTCCGTTCTCATATTTGCTACAATATTTGATCTGATAACGATTATTGAAACGCCTTGATCCCATTCTACTCAGGTGATTTTTCTGTCTGTTCTAGTAGGTTTGAATTAGTTAAATTAGTGTAAGGAGACCAAAGAGGGCTGCTCTATTCTACCAGACCTATGTACAACGCTTATTATGTCATTTAAAGTAGAACAACGAATAAATTTTCAACTGAGTATTGTCACAGAACAAGAGTACATCTTGTTTCAGTAAACAGGAATAAATTTTTTGACATTTCATCTTATTTGCTGATTTTTATTCAAGTAGATATTCTCAATACAGTCATCATTTGGATACCTTATCAATCAACACTGATACTATGTTTATTTACTAAAGATATTTTCCTGTGCCGAAGAAAGCGGAGACCGTCAGGTGAAGTTGCGCACCAGGCCATCGCTCGAGTGGAACCCGACTGGGAAACGACGAGCTGGGGCTGTATCCGAGGGCGGCATGTAGGAGATTGTGTGGGGAGGAGATGAGAGCCTATGGGAATTCGTAGAGGCAGCTAAAGGGGACTGCAGAGAGAAAGATGAAATGGAGATGTGATGTTGTAGCTCTATGTTCCATTGGGAACCTATGTGAATGATAATAATCATACATTGTGTATCACTGATTTTGTTATACATTACATACTGAAGTAAACGTAAAGAAATATTTTGTTTCGTTCACTGTCATTTACGCATAGCAATATCTGCAATTATTCTGCTAATATCTATTCATTTGCTGTTTGGTTAGCAGTTGACCACATAAAAAAGGATTTTTCTTTCTCTCCTGTTCTCCTCCGTTTGATTTGAGAATTTCTCTGCCCTATAAAACATTTCTTTCTTGCAGTATGACTTGTTTAATGAATGTTCCAGTTTTTAACTGTGCAATAAGTAATATATAAACGATTACTTGTTATTTCCGCATTTATCTTTGCAAAGTACCATATGAAAACTTCAAGGAAGTTTTTCAGCTGACTATCTGAATGAAATCAATGCTAGGACTGTTATACTATGACGCCTTTATGCAGTATAAAAATAGTAAGATGCGAAAAGGCAGCATGTTTGTGTAACCAGACTGAAAAATTGGACCCAAAATCAATGGAAACGGCAAACTTGGCCTAAGTTTCAAAACCATGGATACCTAAATTTATTTGTAACGAATAATGTGTACAAGATGGAGACATTATTGCTAGTTTCGTGCAATAACTCCTGGTATTAAGGTTACCTGCCTTCAATATACAGATGATGAACGGAGTTTGACTGATATATTGGATGGTGACAGAAAGTACGAACCTGAACTTTACCAATCAAAATCATCGTAAAAGAGTACCATTTCATCCGGATTTCTCGGTTTATCCTAAGTCGTAACTTCAGAAAAGATAAAGTTTGAGCTTATACTTCTAGCATATGAAACCAAACCTTCAACCAGAAGTACGATGTCTTTCCGGAAAAGTTGGAAGTGTCATTCATTTGACGATAAGATCAACCCTAAGTGATTTACATATTTCAGTTTGAGATAACCCAAATAAAAATGTCCGGATGATCATATGAATGTATTTGACTGGCTTCAAGTTAGATCACGGATTGATATCGGTTAGAAGACCAGTGGAAACCAGGGAGTATGTGACATCTGTTTTGTCCGGGTTCAGGACTCCTCACCAGTACGCACCCCCCCACCGAGGATGGAACGCCAGGGTGAGCTCACTAACCATTTAGCCACTTGGACAGAGTCATATCGTCAGCTCCTTAATTTTAACTTTTGCCAAAATGAAACAGCTTATTTTGCAGTTTAACTTCAATTGTAGCTTACTGCTTCAGTCTGAAGAAAAGTAGATGAAGTTTGAAGAAGTTAAAAAAATCAAAGAACTATTGATCTTTGAAAGTTGTCTCATGAAGAGAGCAACTGAAAAGAATGATAACAAATTGACTCTAGCAGGTGAAAAGAACTTTGTAGGCGTAAAATTTGCTTCCATTGATATGAAAACAAATAACAATTCAGTCTAAATAAATTCTCATAATTTTGAGACATTCTGTTTATAAGACTTTCCAGGACAGATAAATTAGTTTTAGGCTTTAGGAGCTACTTGGGGAAAGAATCTTAGCCCAGCATTGAGTTCTAGGGCTAAAGAAATTAGAATTAAGACAACGTAATACAGTAGAGAGCTTTTCTGTTTTTGTTTCTCCTATCTCCAATTATTCTGACGATTTCTATTAATCTGAGAGTTTAAAGACACTGTGGTCACGTGGATGAACAGCACTGTCGTACTCAAGAATTCAGGAAAAATAATTTTTAAGACGAAGTAACTTTAATCCTTTGGACTACTGTTTTCAACAAAACTGTATGAGTATACATTTGACAAGTCTTATTATACACTGACATAGTAGAAAAGTGTTTTTAAATGTACTGAAGTATTTATGTAAGTACAGCTCAGAAATATTATTAATTGTGCTTACTTAGTTACAAATTTAAGAACTTGACGTCGATTACCATCTAATAATTTTTATCTAGTTGAGAGTCTTGTTTAAAATGTGTTTCGTAGTTATCAGACGTAAGTTTAAACTACTGGCCTCTATTGGGAAAAATTCTCACTTTGAGAAAATGCTGAAATGGTTTTGGTAATCTGATTATCTGTAGAACTGTGTCAACTATAATCTGGTGCTCTGTGATGCAATAGTTTAATTTCTACAATTCCATAACAGAATAGTTATTTTTAGATTACAGCGGTGATACAGCACTAGCTGCTTACCTTTAACGAGGAGTTGTATGATATGTGTTTAACATATTACAGATAAATAAATAATGCTGTGTTACTGTGTTGTATTTAATAAAATTATTTTATCACGAGATCACATCCTGCCACATTAACTAAGTTATTTATTTGTAATAATGAAGAAGCTAGTGCGAGGTAAGGTTTTTGCTGATGTGTGACTCAAACTAGACTATTTTATGCTTTATTGAAGTTTACTGATATATATATATATATTTAATGGAAGTTATGAATCCCTTTTGGAGTAAACGATTGGAAACTAATTATGGATACCAAAACACCGATCACTGCGTAATGAGATGTTAAGATGGCATTCTCAAGTAGAGTTTAAAGACTGTTGTACAAGGGCATGATTACAATCACGTGAGTGTAATAAAGTTTTTTAGAGCTATCTAAGGAAGTGTTCACTACCTCGCTAGAAGTTTTCAGACTGGGCATAAATGATTGAAGACTGCCATTGAGATTACTTGAAAAAGATCATCGATGTAATATGTGCTTTCTAACCTAGTGTAACTTTTTTGTTTGCTCCCGATTTATAAGTTGTCTCGCAAAAGAATAACTTAAAATAATGTAATTTTCTACAATATTTTAAAGCGAATCGATGTTTTGTTTACTTTCTGAATTGACTGTTGATGTTCTAAATTAGACTTCGATCCATTAACTCATGTCAGCTTAACACATTTTATAGTAAGACATTTGTGCTGCAGGAGCGACATGGCATACTGCTTAAAAATATTAGCATGTCGAACATCCGATGAACTGATTGCTCAAAATCCAAAAAAATACAATAATACAAGAGAATTCATAAGCAGTCACACCAGCGAACAGTGAAAACTCTTAGTATCCCACAGCATGTTGTTAAATGAAAGCCATACGCTGTTATCTGAACACTAGTTTTCCCAAGGAAACAGTCTGCTTTCGATTTTGACTGAGTATCACGTAAAAATATAAACAACAGCATAAATATCTTCCCTGCATAGGGATCTAATATTCACAAATTACTATCGTTTACTCGCTAGTCAGGTTTCCTGAGATGCGTAGTGGCAAATAATTTCATGAAATTATAACTTTACGCCTTTCGCCATTCAACAGTCGGCACTGATCTTCACTAATTAGGTTGTCTGATTAAGCTGAAAGCACTGGGGCAGGGCATCTGGCACTCCAGTGTGTTACTTTCGGTTGTTGGTGAAGTAAATCCAGTCACCCAAGCATATACCCCACCTTACTGAAACATATTTTCTCAGCTACCGTTGGGATTTGGCTTACGAACAGTTTTCTGGTCAGTGACATAACTGTTTCTGGGTTGGAAGGTAGTAAACACGTGCTATGATTTCATCTCATCGCCAGGTTTGCCTCTTCAAAGACGTATTGTTCCTCTGCGGTATCAGGAGTTTTAGACTTTCTTTAACTCCAGTGGTCCCATTTTAAAAAGGAATGGGGTGTCTGAAACAAAAGCATAATAGCTTATAATGAGTAAAATTAAAAGGAATTCTAAACAGTGGATATCTATATATTTGACCATAAAATTAAAATATGAACAACGCTGTTGGATCATTTGAATGCATATTTCGTCTTAACTATGTTAAGGAATTTTTTGAAATAAAGAAAACAGTGATACCACCTTTCCTGCAATTTTTTAACAATGCAGTGAATATTGTGACTCGATGTCATATATTTTGAACACTTAATGCTTATAAGCCTTCCAACAGTTTTGATGCATCAAGCCTTGCCTGTCGAATGAAACAAATTTAATGGAAAAACACAAACCTGCTCAGTCTCATCATCTTCATTTTCGTGATCTACACATTGTTCTAGATAATGTTTGGCCATATTAGGCTGTTTTAAATGAAGGTAACAACGAGCAATATACAACAAATTTGTTGAATAAGACTTAGGGTTTCCTGAATTCTGGTCAAAACACGATTATTTACTTACTTCCTTCAGCACTCAAGAAGTATTTGAGTGCCTGAAATGATAAGATTAAGTATTCTGAGTTACTTCTTGATAAGATGACCGTGGAGGTTCTTTGAACAGTGCATAGGCAAATTTCTTCTGTACCCACGTCCAGCCAGCAACTTCAAAGCACCTTTCTAAATATATGGACACTGCAAAAAATCTTACCATAGCCCAATTTTATGCAAGATGATGGGGTCATTTTGATCGAAAGATAGTGATTTCTTTATTTTTATTATTATAATAATATTCGTCATTTATAAGTGACTTGTAACTTACCAGTAACTGTTGTTTCAAATCAAATGACTTCTCAATCCATCTTTTCTTGCCTTTAAGCCATAGTTTCCGTTCAAAGAAAAGTGCTAAGTACTAATAATTTAGAAAGATGAATTCAGTGGAGAACCTTAACACAACCTGGATGGTTTTCATTCAATGAACAGCCAGTTTTTGCAAATCGGTAGCCGGTATTAATGTAGAATTGATATTTCTCTTTATCCGCTCTTGAATACATATCAGCTTGAAATAGAATGAGTGACGCTCATCTTTCAAACCTATATTTAAACAAAGTCGAGAGAGCACCGAATATATATTAGGTATCTGAAATTTAGAATCAGATAAGCATTTGATAACAAGGCTGTATGCTTCTTCATATTCCCGACTATCCATCAGATTGTTAACCTCATATAGTAACTGGTCTGGAGTAAGAACTTCCTCGTCTAACATAGCATGCGCGATATCTAGACAAACTTTTCACTATGCCGATCCAATGTCCAATACGAGTTCAATATCCAATATCGTTTCTACTAGCTAGTTTAAACTAATTTGAATTCTTTGTTCTCGCTTCTTGACTGTGAGGTAAAGGTCCCTGATCTTCGGTAGTTCGTAGTTCATCCTGCCATTCGACTGCCACAGATTTGGTTGACTCCCAAAGGAGTGGTGCTGGGATTAATTATGTAATATTAGGTTTGTTAGGACTGTATCACTACCGTGAATAGAGTTGATCCTTTCAGCAGTTAGCCCTACGATGTCGTCAACAAAAGAAAAGAGGTAATAATAACAGATATAATTATTTTAGGTGATGCAGACTAAAAGACAGAAAAGGAAATAACGAAAAAATGAAAACAGACTGTGAATTAAATCTGAAGTTGATATGCATACATACATAATATCTATGATCATAATAAGTGTAAGCATAGTAGTTGGGATAATCAGGAGAGTAAGATGGGAGAGAATGTAAAGAAGTAATACAATGAATTGAAATGTCTACCCATCAATAGTGTGTGAGATTTTTAAGGTGATAGGCCGTTTGGACGCATTCCTCATGACGCCTCATGGTTGTCCAGAAATCGCTTAAAGCTGTTCACAGACGGTGCCGTATCTACCTCTGCCGGTAAGGATGGAAACATTGCAGTGAAAAGAAGTGGGAGCGCACCCGGGTCCTTGCCCTCTGGTGAGCTATCCTCCTGGGATTTCCACGAGGAAGTTCTTACCTACTCAATAACAGAACACCTTTGTTTGGGTAATTCTGGTCATTTGTTATTTTGTAGGCAGCAATTAAATCTCCCCTAAGCCGACGGTAGCTAAGTGTGAATAGGCCTAATTTCTTCGGCGTTTCATCATATGGTTTGTTTTGGAGACCAACCACTTCTATTGTTACCCGTCGTTGAACTCTTCCTAAGGTTGGCGTCTCTTCTAAGCAGTGGGGGTGCAATAATATTTTGCACTTCTAGGTGTGGTCTGATTTATGTTTTGTACATTCCTAGAAAGAGCTCAGGAGTGAGTGCACCTAGCTGTCTATGTGTAAAGTGTATGACCGCATATGCCTTTATTACATCCCCATGTTATTCACGCTTCTGTTCATTTTTTCCGTTCGAACTAAATTTAATTCACTCTCCGACGTTGTTCAGGACGAAGTTTCGTTGTATGGGGTGCAACTTGAATTTTGCAGCTTACAGGTGCGTATTTTCATAACGTTACACTTTTTCAGGTTGAAAGTCACACTCTTAGCCACCGCCAAGTCTTCCAGATGCTTAAAGTCTGCCTGAAGGCTGATTATATGACATATCCCCTATTTGAAGTGGCGCCACCTTCTTCACCTTTCTGCGTTTGCATGGTTTAGGTGGTTCGAATTGGGGCTAGTTGTCTAGGCAAACGCAGTTGACGTGATTTTGGTGCTTATTTTGCTCTTGTTGGATGAATTTATATGAAAATTGTTGTTCGATATTGTTCTTGAGCATTTACATATTGCTTGTGCTGCAGGACGCTTAAATATATAGTTCATGCAATGATTATTTTGTATGCCGAGTATGCTTCACGTACATTTCGACGAATGTCTTTCAACAAATTTCTTTGCAGCTTGCCGGCAACCTGTACTCGGTCGTAAATCTCCCAATCTGCTGTTGTGCAGTACCTATTTCTGTTGCAGGAACGGAAGAACATGGTTGATGTCGAATTCGTGCATGCTTCTGCACATTTGCGTGGTGTCTTGATTGTGAAAAGTCTATGGAATCCATAGATACAAGAGAAGATTGGTGTTCTCAAATGGGCGGAAACTACAATGTGTTTTACGACCACTTGCAACATTCGCTGTTTTCTGCCAAAATTTTTAACTGAGATAAGTGCTCACTTAAACATTCTAGTACTTTGCTGGATTTGAATAACATCGCCGTGATCAGGTACGTGAGGACTACTTAGGTGTGCGTCACTTTGTGCTATTATTGTGTTTGATTTCACAAACTTCCCGCATTTTGCTATTATCCTGAAGCTATAAATGTGCGTTTGTACAACGGCAATTTGCAGATTTATTTTGGAATCATGTAGACGTAGTGTCCAACATCTATTAAAGCCATGGGCGTAAGGTTTGGAAGCAGTTGTCATGCCCACTTAGGGAGGACTCATCGATGTCTGCAAATAAAGGCTTCAGAGCATATTCGTAAATGCATCTAGAAGCGAACAGAATCCTCAGAACCCATTAATGGTGGGAACAGGTGACCCAGCTCCTCTATTGCGAAACATATTATAGAGACAGGACATAAAATTGACGTTTACACATCTTTTAAAAGTATCTATAAAACGTGTTTGGCGAGTTTCCTAAAGTTCATGGAAGCCCTAGCTGGCGATTAGGAAATTTAAACTACCTTTATGAGCTCAAAAACAATTCTTCATCACACTAAACCTATTTTCCTTGGTTAACCGTATTTTGATGCCAGTTAGGGTAGATGTACTAATGTAACAACAGACGACAAGGGCCAGGCAACAGATCCTTTATTAAGGAAAATCAACACATATTTATAGATTTTAATGTACATTATTGTAGATTGATGTTAGTAGAAAATACAGTCTTTTGATTGGTTGTTTCTCACAGAAAGTTAACCTTGCATCTCTTTGTGGCTGTGTCAGATCATCTATATGTTAACTGTATCCGCCTACGCAAACCCTTTGTTCTCATTTTCTCACTACCAATATTGGGGACATAAATATTGACGTCAATTACTGTCTACAGACTTTGGCTAGCAGCCAGCTCTCACCATACTAATGCCTCTGTCATTTGGTCTAGTGATCTTCATTGATATTTTGACTTTCAGTTTGTGCTTTCAATTCCACCTAAATTTATTTTCTCTCCTTATAACTCCTTATTAATTACATATGCATTCCTATGATAAGTCCTTGTGTCATCAGATTATGCAAAATATGTTGCTCAAATACAACACTACACGATTCAGACAAACTACGTCTTCTTATTGCATTGTCTAATTATCCATTTGTGTCAAAAACAGTGACTGATGTAATCGCACATTGATATAAACTTTCATCAATTTTTACTGTACTAACTCGTTAATTATAATAATAATTTGCCTTATTCCAAAACAGTACTTGTGATCCATAACGGAATTCTCAGTATTTTTACTACAGCATTGCATCCAGTTAGTACATTATCAATAAATAGAATTCTATATAGATTAAGGAAATCTCAGTTCATTATGGCAACAACAAAGTTTTAAGAAGAATGTGCCAGTTAAGTAAAGGAAAGTCTTGATGCAGTAAGAAGAAAAGACGGAACTTTATCAATGTATGTCTTATCATAGAAGTATAATTTACATGGAATTATTACTCTGCCATAGTGATCAAGTTCTTCTCAATAAAATAGCAGGGGTCAGTCGACTGCAGTTTGGTACATACATTCATGCCTTATATTCTCAGAAATCATGAACATTCATCTTATTACATCTCTATAATTGCTTCTTCCTACTATTATTTACACTTCTTCACCCTCACATTCTTTTGGATATCTCCTCACTAAGCTGATTTTATCCAAACAACCCAACTACCACGCTATTTTATCAGGCACTATGTTGTTTATGTCTTTGATATACTAACAAGTATTATTTTAATATACTACAAAAACCGACTACTCAGAAGTAGTCTTAAAAGTACCGAAACATCATCTTCATTGAGCAAATGGGCACGACTAAAAAGTATATAACAATCCCACTTACACAAGATGGTTTTGATTGCAGACTAATAATAATATAAGTCTAACAAATCAATGATGGGATATACACTGTGAATACAACTCATTCTTAAATAGAGCAACAATCTTATTTTGATATTTAAAAAAGATAAGTAATTAAAACAGTTTTGTTGTAGCAAGTGAAGTAGGGATAATAACAAACACCCTCCCTACAAGCATGTTTTATTGATATCAACCACACTAACCGAATTAATGACGTCTTCGACACGAAGTTGTGTTTCCTCCTCTAATAACTGTATGACATAATTCTACTCAGCTTTAATTAATGTCGTGTGCACGTTATAATAAACTACTACTTACATGCTTCTTAATTTGGTTTGTTTCATGGTTTCCTTAGCAGTAATTGTCAGTAAAATTTGGCAAAAATCGTATAGATACATCATAATAATAATTTGGTTTATTCCAAAACAGTACTTGTGATACAGAATGGAATTCATAGCATTTTTACTACAGTATTGCATCCAGTTAGTACATTATCAATTGTAAGATTAGTTATGTTTTACGAGTTGATCACGGACTGATATCAGTTAGAGAACCATTGAAAACCAGGGAGTACTGGACAGCTGCTGTTTCATCCTAGTTTGGGAATCATCGGCAGTACGCACCCACTGGGATTCGAACCCGGGACCTTCCGGTTACAAGGCAAGCTCGTATACCATTCAGCCACTGGGACCCGATTCAATGGCTCATGAATTCTAACTTCTACCAATTCGTGATTTTAGCGCGACCCCAACTATTGTCGTTGGTGAACGAATTGGTAGAAGTTAGAATTCATGAGCCATTGAATCGGGTCCCAGTGGCTGAATGGTATACGAGCTTGCCTTGTAACCGGAAGGTCCCGGGTTCGAATCCCAGTGGGTGCGTACTGCCGATGATTCCCAAACTAGGATGAAACAGCAGCTGTCCAGTACTCCCTGGTTTTCAATGGTTCTCTAACTGATATCAGTCCGTGATCAACTCGTAAAAAATAGAATTCTACA